ATCAGTAGCATTATCTTATCTCAATTCAGCATTATTATTATTATCATAAATATTAATTTTGATATTACTCTGTTTGCAATTCTTGATATATTCGCAAATGACTAATTGTTTATCTAGGTGATGTAATTGAGGCATAATGCATTTTATCTTAATTTCAATCTCTCATACTCCCTCTCCCCTTATCTATTTGAACATGACCTGGAAAACATTCGCACCTGTCTTTCTGCATGACTAATTCAATGTAGTTTGTTTACTTATCAGTCTTATATCTCCCAATGTAATTTCAAAAGTATATATATATCCGTGTATGTAGAGTATTCAGCTGACGAGTTCTGCCGAAATTTGATGAATCCATCATTAAACCCTGCTCTATTAACCTTCGTTGCTTGTTTTAAAATGGGGATGGACTGGACACACACAGAGGATGTCGTCCCTCCACTGGAACTTGAATAGGAGACGATGAGTTTCGTTTGGGACTGAGGGTGATATGAAGAAGACCATGTGAGGAGGAGATGAGACCTTATAAGCAGTTGCGGAGCCCGCTAAATGTGACTCTAGAGAATAGGGTGAAATGAAGACCTCCCGGTGAAGCCCTGTGTCTCACTAAGAACCCAAGGGCATAGAAATAACAGTAATAATAGACACTTATTAATCCACGAAAGAAGAGGATATATATGTATTTTTTAATTATTCCTTCACGTTCTCCAGTGGAACATAGGGCTTCAAGCTAGTGGCTTGAAGTTTCTGTAGCAGTGTTTATTTTACAGGATGGGGTTGCTAGCCTCATGCCTAACCTTTCCTCTTCACCAACATTATTTTTGGCTTAGAGAGGTGAAGGAGTGCACAGGCCGGGGATCGAACCCTGGACCACGTGCATAGTCGGCGAGCGTCCTAACCGCTATGCCACCGACGCACTTTCCGGACATCTCTTACCAGGATTAATTGTATCCGGTGATTTTATCTGTTGTTGAAGCTATTTTGGAATGTGTTCTGTAGGCCTACTCTACATAGACCGATGGGTCCTGCCCTATGTACTTGTGGTCACATATACATAGAAATTGGTAAACACAGTGGGATGCTACACCATCGCCTGGATGCTGTGTGGGTTTACGGGACAATATAGATCTCTTTTTATCTACGGAAACAAGTTTAACTGCATAGCAAGTTATTTTAACTGCCACCCTGAGTCTTTATTTAGTGATCACCCTTGAACGGTAGTGGTGCGTCGGTGGCACAGTGGTTAGGACTCTCGCCGACCATGCACATGGTCCGAGGTTCCATTCCCCGCCGACGCACACCTGATATCTATGGTTGGCCTGCTAAATTTGGGCTACCGATATCACATGCTGAAAATTTCATACTTGTACTTGTGGAATCAAGCTATAATAAACTTTTTTTTAAAATTAATAAAAATCTATAAAAATGCTTTACGGAGCTGATTGGGTCGGTAGAACCCCTTGTCTGATTATTCACTAATGCTTAGGGAATTTCATCGTACAATTGTTATCTGGAAATATTTTAATGATGTTTTGTGTTTTTCTCCAGTGGTGTCATCTGTACATATATGCTGAATGTTTCTGAACAACCACTAAAGTAACGCCCTATTATACTGGAGTGGAAAGGGACTATGATAATTTAAACGCTGTTTTGTTTATGTCGGCTTTCTGTATACAAATCGTCTTATTGACCCATCTTGTTGGGGAGTTATGAGTACACATAAAATGGTAAGCAATCGTAATTCTCTTTCATGTATGCTAACGATATGCTGTTTTGTACTGTATTTATCCAGTTAAGAGATTTCTGTGGCATCTGTTAGTTTGTTACGAATGACTATTACGTCATCCACGTATCTCTTACAAAAATAAACCTTTCATATTACGTCATCAGCTTGGTTCTCAACAAAGTGACATGAAATTTTAGCTCCTCACTAATCAGTCATCGTTCACTTATCTAGGAAGTATCGTTTCAACTACAGGCGGAGCGGTTGAAGATGTTAAAGCAGGCCAGACAGTCAGAATCGGAGAGGCAAGATGCACATGCTTTCATCAACGTGAAACAACCAGTTTGGAAATCTTCTGCACTCCGCTTCAGCATCACAAGGAACAAGATTCAGATTCCGTCAGTCACTTCTTCTATACGGGTCAGAAACATAGCCAGCGTGTCACGAAAAGCATTTCCGACAGTCAGTTACAGGCTTTTACCAACAACTGGCTCCACACTGAAAAAATCAAATTACTGGCCAGAAAGAATTAGCAACAAGAAACTCTGGGTGGCTGTGAACAAACCAACCAAGAGAGCCGATCGCTCAACAAATATGTAGGAGAAAATGGAGATGGATTGATTGGGTATACATTGATGAAAAAGGCCATCGAATGACATAGTACTCAATGCAGGCGATCGCTCGAGTGGAATCCCAATAGGCAGAGATGAGTGGGCCATCGGTGCAAGGGTGACATGGAGGAGATCGTGCGAGTTGGAGGAGATGACGGATTATGGTTATGGTCAATCATGGACTCAGGTGAAGAGGATAGCAGAGAATAGAAGAAAGTGGAGACATATTTTGATTTGGCACTAGTAACTAATGTGATGCGTCCAGTCCTCTCTTTGGTGCAGACTGAATTCTATCAGTCAGGTTTGCAGTGTGGCCACCATTCTAGGATGCTCGCCATCATCGTGCACACATTGATTTGATGATACTAGATAGTTAGAGGCTATCAGCCACAGGAAGTCTTGTCTGACCTGGGTTTCGTGCTAGTTGGCACCCTTCAGTAAGGCGCATCTGCAACCTTGAAGGAACTCATGTCGCTTCTGAGATTCAAATCAATGTGTGCACCGTGATGGCGAGCTACCTAGAATGGTGGCCACACTGCAAACCTGACTGATAGAATTCAGTCTGCACCAAAGAGAGGACTAGATGCATCACACTAGTTACTAGTGTCAAATCAAAATATCCACTACAGTCCTACAGGACGTCAATCGCGAGACCGAATAGCTCAGTGGTAACGTCTCTGCATGCAGCATTGGGTGTTGGTGTTCGAATCTCAGAAGGGAGATGAGTTCCTTCAAGGTTGCAGATACGCCTCGCTGACGAGTGCCAACTAGCATGAAACCTAGGTCAGGCTTGGCTTCCTGCCGATTGCCTCCAACCATCTAATAAGGTGGAGACATGTTGTTGAGGCCCTATGTTTCACACAGAACCCAAGGGAATAATAATAATCAGTCGCTACTGGGAGAGAACTTCTTCACTCTCAGACTACAAAATCACTACTCTTGTACATTACTGACGACAAACAATAATCCTCCGATAAGATCTACGTTCCAGAGAAAACCATACAATTAGGCAAAACTGAATGTGGAATAAGAATTGTTTAAAATAAGTGAATCTCATCATTCTATCCCAGATACATTTTTCTCAGCTGCACATGATTTATGAGGTTATTGATTATTATATTTGAAAAATTGATCATGAAAAGGGAATTTAGTGGTATACACTTCCGGTAATCAACGTATTTTGTTAATCATAAAGTTTGTCAGCTTTCCTCAAATAATAATAATAATAGTAATAATAGCAATAATAGTAGGGCAAACTTTCTAACGAACAGTTTTATGGCTCTTGAGTTTCTTTTTTCAACCAATTAAATACAAAATGAATTTCATTGTATAAAAACGATTACATATAATAACAGGCTGTATTCTGAATACACTTTAGCGTTAAATAAAAACAAAACTCCATTCTAATTAAAAATCTTAAAATGAATTTTAAACCCTATCGGTAATTAGAGAAAAAAAATATTTTTTCCTCCTCAATAATTAATAAATTTATTCCCTTGTAAAATATATTCTGTCAACAGGCGGTGTTACGCAGGAAATTGACTGCTTGAATCACTGGTGATGAAAATTTTCAGATAGTATCATGATGTCTAGTGTCTCAACTCATCGGAAGTTAAGATTCAGGCATGGAGTCTTCTTTATGTGCCTGCAGTGTACAATTTTTTTTATTATTATAGCTTGATTCCACACAGTATTTTTGTTACAAGCATGGAATTTTCAGCAAATGATATCGGCGGCCCAAATTTAGCAGGCCAACCACTGACATCAGGTGTGCGTCGGTCGGAAATTGAACCCCCGACCATGTGCATGATCTGCGAGCGTCCTAACCGCTGTGCCACCCGATGCACAAGTGATATCCATGAATCAAAAGCACTTTTATTCAGCCAGTAAAGGCAGATACAAAAATACTTATGGCTTGGCCAAACACTTAAGTTCCTTCCTAAATGTTACGATATCAAAGCAAGAATCGGAAAAGCAAGACAAGCTTTCACTACTCTCAAGTCTGTGTGGAGGTCAAATAAGATCCGGATTTTCAACTCCAATGTGAAGTCACTGCTGCTATACGGACCAGAGACTAGCTCTGCGCGTCATAAAGAGCATCTCAAACAAACTACAGACCTTCATTAACAGTTGTCTTCGCTCATTACTCAAGATCAGATGGCCTGTCAGAAATGATCAGCAATAGGGAGGGATCTCTGGGAGCGAACCAACACAGCAGGAACCGATTGTGAAACAAATAGGCAGGAAGAAATGGAGATGGATTGGATTGGTCATACTCTGAGGAAACAAACCATCAAGTGACATCACTAGACAAGCCATTGCTCGGGTGGAACCCAAAAGGGAAGTGGCGAGTTGGTCGTCAGTGCAAGAGTGACTTGGAAGAGGTCATGTGAAGAGGAGATGAAAACGTGTGGGCAGACATGTAGCCAGGTGAAGACTCTAGCAGAGAACCGAACGCAGTGGAGACTCACGTCTGAAGCCCTATGTTCCTCTGGGAATTAAAGGAAACAGTAGTAATGATAATAATAAATGTTACCAACACAGTTATCACTTGAATCCCATGTGAAGCGGCTAAAGTTGCCGACCATGAAAAGAAAATGCAAAGTAACATAATTTTAAATCAAACATGCAAAGACGGCTTTTCATAGAATATCAGCAATCCCACTTACTTCTTGTCGCGTTATTTCCATCGCCACTTGTCCAATACTAATTTGATTAGCTTTTCTGTACAAGTGTTTTGAATCTCTAATACTTATGTCCACTGCTCCACTGTTACACAGATCTCTCCATAATTCTGTAACTTCACTTTTCAACAAATTATGCGATAAATAGTCAATTAGAAAAATATTCAAATTATCCTGCACATGATTTGTATAATTGTGCTGATGTTTTCCGTGTGGTAATGCTTCCTCATATACATCCGACTTGGTGGACATTATGTGTAAGATTTCTTTGCCCACAGGTTCAATAGTATGATTGCAATGATTTTTGTCGCTATGACAACTACGAATACGCAGTTTACAGCCAACTAGACTCATATAACCGCTGGGAATGGTGACCACATCAGGAGAATACTGTTTACTATACTTTTTCGGTGATCGTCTACCCCCACTTGCTCCTTGTGTCTGATGATCCGCATGCCTCTTTCGCTCTTGCAAAAGACCTAGTCTTACTAAACGCGACGAAGAGTTCATAAACAGTCGCCAGTGTAATTGCATCGGATCGCTTATTATACAACTGTCTGTATCATTAGAATTCTCAAAACTATTTATAGGAAAATTAACAACTGTCAACTGTTCATACAGTATCATTTCTAGAGTAATACTGAAATTCGATGAAACTGTACTAAGTAAAAAGGCCAATGCTGAACTTTTGTTTCTTTTCCCTGAATATTCATTTGCGTCGCATCGTAGACTATCTCTACGACTTTGCTCTACTATCTGTTGATGCCTTAATTCATCGAATTTACAACAATGCGCTTTCAACGGCCATCCATGTGATCCTATGTAGAAGTCCATTAGTCCTGTATTACATTCACCAGGTAAATAAGCGTTACATGTAAGGTGAATCCAATGTGATCCCAGTGGTTTTTCACTTTCATTACATGCATAATTATAATTCCTGTGTGAAGTTTGCTTTACTAAGCATACTTCAACATCCACACAGAGATCTTGATTCTCATCAATATTGAAGTCGAGATTTGTCGACAAATCACGATACGGTTCAACATCAATCGTCAACATCCATAAATCATCAGCATAGAGAAATTTATCCGTCTCAAAATGAATTGTACTCGGCAGTGTGAATGTTGTATTATCCATTCGTTTAAGTACTATAGGATTAGGATTACGTGATCTGTTTATATTTTTACTCAGCGGTAGTTCATTTGTTGGATCCTTGGTCTGATTCGCCTGTAGCTTTATAGTAACGTGGGGATTACGTAATCCAAGCTCTATGATACACCTACCATCATCGAATAAAAAACGCTTTGAAGATAATGCCGCCAAATCAATCACATTTTTACGTCCATGCTTAAAATCATTCTGTGTAAATGTACAATTTAATCGAGAAAAACATTCATTCTGACTAAAAATTCCACGATTTCTTATAGTGAATTCAAAGTCCACTGTAATAGTTTTCCATTGTGTCGGACGTTTATTCAATTTATGCTTTAATTTGTTTGTTACAGTTGCTGGTGTTGCTGTCGTTGTCGCTGCTGATGAGTGCGTGGATGTCATATACAAATTTTCACACTCTTCATATTTCGGTACAAGTAGTTCTAAGAAAAATCCCAAATGGGTATCTGTTCGCTCGAAGCGTACAAACCAATCGTGTTCAGCATAGTGAAACACTTTGGTTTCAACAAAATCAACTAAACCGCATAAAAGATGGGGAAGTAGTAGAAAAGTGAATATTTGTGTATTTGCAGAATCATTCATATGTACATATCGATGCAGTGGAGCTAGACAAACATTATCATCACTCGTGGACTTCTGTTCCTTTTCAATGAAGTTCGAGCCTTGTGACTCAGGGGAATAATTCAAGTGTGGATAGTGTAAACTGGTCATGGAGTGAATGTCGAGCTAGACAACAATCATCGACATGTATATCGTGTAGACGATACAGTAGCTGTAAGATATATTATTTTATGTTTGTTATTAAAAACATTTTCAATTCTAATGAAGTATTTAGAGTTTATGCTCAAATTTTGATTGGCCAGTATCTGATTGGTTTAAATTCTATCTGGAAGCAGTCATTGGTTGAAATGGTTGCTAGTATTTTTGAATAGAATTGTTAGTTTCTCAACGGATGTGAAATGTAAAATAGTATTGGGCTTACTTTACCATTTTGAAGTTCCATGGCTGCTCCAGTCGATTGATTGGACCGAAGTGGCCGGTCTCAGGTTCACATGTCGGATTCTTGTGCAGATGCTTCGACGATGTCTGGGCATGTAATTAGAAATTAATTAATTGATGGATGGTGACTAGCAGTGGAATCCAATCCAGGATGTGCATTTCGTCCTATTTGGGACTCTTCAACTGGATGTACCTGCATTTCGCAGGGAGTGATGATTTCCCCACTGCGGCTGGAACCAAGTGCCTATAGTTTCAAACGCCAAAGCGTTATCCGCTAGACGAAATACGCATCATGGATTCCACTGCTAGTCACCATCCACCAATTAACTTCAAGTCCATACTCTCTGAAATTCATGTAGAAGGCATTCATTACATTTTATTAACAACCATCCTATCGACAATTATTATTCGTCAGTGATGGTGCGCATAAAATACAAAATCTTCTGCAAACAATCACAAAACAAATATCAATATCTTCATGAATTTATTCCCCTTAATGAATTTGAGTAAAGCAAGAACAACAGCAGTGCGGTTTGTGCAGAATAATATGGTACCATCATTGCTTATTTCGTTGGTTTCTCATCAGCTGCTTACAACTTAAATAAATTACGAGGTTTATGCACAGAAGAAGTTTTAACATACTTGAAAATTTCTCATAGTGTCAGTTGACATAAGGTTCCGGAATTAGTGAACAGTGCTCATAAAATTGCGCTTATATAGTTTTTACACAGGCAGTTCAAGTTTAAACAAAGTAAATGCATGCGTACAATGGTAAAGGAGTTACGTAATAAAGACGGGAGATGCGGAGGATGCTGAGTGACCAATAAATTAGGTAACAATGTACTGACTTCAACTAAAATCGTAGAAACAAGCAAAATTATAAAAGCGTGGGGGGTGGGGTTAAAGAAAAAGATTACTTTATTGAATGAGAGTGACAGTAAAGATATTCAGTTACCACGGAAAGGAAAGACTCATAACTGCTTCTTTCTGAACACATAAATCGGGTTTCAAGCGTTTGATAGAAATTGCTTCGGCAAACTTGAGAAGAATCGAGCTTCTTTGTCTATTGATAATTTTAAAGGATTTCGAGATGTCCACCTCATGACCCTTATCTAGGAGATGTCTGGTGATAGCGCTTTTATAAGAGTTGTTCCGTTGAGATGTAGGCTTTTTGGCACATGTTCAGAAAATCGTAGATATGCCCTTCTTTCTGTACTCCCAATGTAACTGCTCCCGCAGAAACATGCAGTTCCGGTTAACATGAGAAGGATATATATCGATTTTTAATTGCACCAAAGAGCAAGTTATTCGATGGACTGGAATCAACTTAGCTGCAGGATAGGCTCTGGCTAGTGACGTACTCAGTCTTCCGTTGACCATTGCTGCAATGTTTTCTCTTTAAAATCTTTTTGAATGAAGACAGGCTTTTTTCAACTGTGATTTGTTTGGTATTTGAGACTTCACATCTTTCATATTTGTTAATGAATATTTGTAGATATGTAACAACAGAAGACAAGGGCCAGGCAACAGATCGTTTATTAAGGAAATCAACACATATTTATAGATTTTAATGTACATTATTATAGATTCTTGTTAGCAGACAAACACAGTCTTTTGATTGGTTGTTTCTCACTGAAAGTTAATCTTTCATCTCTTTGTGGCTGTTTCTTGAATGTCAGGTCATCTGTATGTTAACTGTAACCGCCAACATCTTCAGTGCATACTCCATCATATACAAATCGTCATTGCATGTCTAAGAACATTTTGAGACTTTTAGAAGAAAAAGTAATTGAATACAACTCCGTGTGGGACATATTTCTTCATTTCGTCAACCTACATCACCAGTTATTAACATCAGATAAATTCATGACGAGGCTATTCTTATTGTTTCCTTTAATTCCTAGAGGAACATAGGGCTTCAGCTGCGCGTCTCCATTGAGTTTGGTTCTCTGCTAGAGTCTTCACCTGGCTCCATATCTGCCCACACCTTTTTATCTCCTCTTCACATGACCTCATCCAAGTCACCCCTGCACTGACGACAAACTCGCCACTTCCCTTTCAGGTTCCACTCGAGCCATGGCTTGTCTAGTGATGTCACTTCATAGTTTGTTTTCTCAGAGTATGGCCAATCCAATCCATCTCCATTTCTTCCTGCCTGTTTGTTTCACAATCGGTTCCTGCTGTGTTGGTTCACTCCCAAAGATCCACCCTTGTTGCTGATCTTTTCTGGCCCGCCATCTGATCTTGAGTGGTACTGAGAGAAGACAGCTGTTCATGAAGGTCTGTAGTTTGTTTGAGATGCTCTTTATGACGCGCAGTGCAAGTCTCTGATCCGTATGTTGAGTAGCATTGACTTCACATTGGAGTTGAAAATCCGGATCTCATTTTTGATGCTGAGCACTGCCGTTGACCTCCACACAGACTTGAGAGTAGTGAAAGCTTGTCTGCTTTTCCGGTTCTTGCTTTAATATCTTCGTCAGTTCCGTGTGTCTGTAGTAGAAAGGATGCTTCCCAGGTCGGCAAGTAGGTAAAGGAGGTTGTTTGTTTTAGGTTATACTGTTGAGATTTAACAGTGTAGTGTCTTCAACAATAGAATCTTTATATTCCTAATGAGATAGATTATTTAATATAAAAGCAGAGATTTCATATCAGCACAACACGGCAGAAGTACTGAATAGGAATATAATTAGGTGGAAAGAACATTTTACCACTGAATCTTTATCCATCAAATCAACTCTACACACGTCCAGTGCAAAACAGCAGAGGGGAATGAAAGTATGCCAGGAGAATGATGAAGTCTGTGGAACACACACGGATCTCAGTATGAAGGGCAGTAAATTATCCCTGAAAAAGGCAAGCAGAGTTATACATATCTAATCACTGTGCCCAAATTCTACTCTCACATTATCCCTCAGATGTTGACATATGCAGTGAGACTTCCATCAAAAAGAAATCGAAGTCACTTCTTCTCTGAACACAGTAAATATTCAGAGTTGATATCGTTAAGAGAAGTAAACTCGTCTTCAAGCATACTCTCACTTTCCTCATAAGGATACTCATCTGTTTATTTGTTTATTTATTGATTTACTGAACTGAAGGGCAGAATCGTGATCATAAATATTTCTATAAGGGAAAATGCCTTGTCACTTCTGCATAATTCATCTCATTTGGAAATAATCGAACGAAGAATATTCTTTTCGATAAATTCCTCTTCCGGCTCTGCAATTATATATATATATGTTTATATACATGGAATATTCTAAATTAGTAGTCAATATCAATATGTATAAACATATATATAATTGTAAAGCCGGAAGAGGAATTTATCGAAAAGAATATTCTTTGCTCGATTATTTTGTGTTTTATAGATGTCTGAATGAATATTTTTGCTATATCATTTGGAAATGTTTGCCAGATAAGCAGACGTTGTGTGTTTAACATGATCAACCTAGAAAATGCATGATCGAATACACTGGAGTTGCTTTCACAAAACTATTTCTTCATGCGATATATTTCCTGTGTACTTGGTTATTTCTTCATTTTACATAAACGCACAGACGGTGAATGGAATTTTGCCTAAATGTGAATCACTCAGACGTTCATTCTACACACAAATCAATCCGAAATGGAAAGTTCACCCCTCATTTATCCTCTTGTTGTCAGTGTTCGTATCACGGAAGGCATTTGTATTTAGAAAAATGCGTCTACTGTGCTACTATTTCATTCTTCCGTCTTAACGGCTGTGACATTAAGTAGGTGAAATTTGAAGATAATTTACAACTAAGGGTGTGTAGTTTGGAATTTCTTTCTTCTTCATAGGTGGATCAACACTTTGTATAACAACGTGATATGGTTTTTCCTGTCTGGTATGAAGAGAAATTTTACCGGTGAGTTTGTGAAGCTGAATGGATGTAGGTGGTTGGGCAGACTTTCACGTATTCCATGGAACCTCCTTATTAAAAGGGTCATTTTCTATGGAGAAGGGTGAATTTTTCGAAGTGTCACGAGGAGTACGTGGAAAACACATCGTCGGTCTATCACTATACGTATGCAATTATGAATTGTCTGGCTAGGGTTTGTATTCAGAGCGCTAAGACTCGATGGATGGAAACTGTTAGCTGATACTGTCTAAAACTGCAGGTGAATTCAGTCCTTGTCTTGTTTCATATTTTCAAAATGCCCATTTATATTCATTCAACAATCCCCTACTTGGTAGATTTTCGCCCGTTAAAGTGAAACTGCAACCACTTCACCACGTGATGTGAGGTAATAACAGTCCAGAAACAGAACGAATGAGTTCTTCAAAATATGCTTTGCACAGTATAGGACTCCAGTGGCATTAGACTTTGATCAAGTAGCAGAGTTTGTGAGTCGATTAGAAGGCCAGGTTTATTCTTTGTTTTGTATCCGAAAGAGACACAGAAGTCGATATCATCGACAAAGGTATGCATAGTAGACAGTAAGAGCAGAATGAATTAAGCATTACTTAGTGACTTCGTCAGTCGCAGATCAACTAATTGCTGGGTCGAATCTCCACTTGCATGGGGATCATCCACATATTCCTCCACAAGATTTCTTTCAGCGTATCTGGTTTTCCATTATGATTTACGCTTACTATGTGAAAGTCAGACACCATTGCTCCCCAGTGAACAATGCTCCATATTTACGGAAGCTTTGAGTGAATATAGCAGCCGCATATAGTATTGCATACATATACCGACAATGTGAGAGTCATCACCAGAAAATGAACTACGGGACGCTACCCTGAGGATATAAATATACACCGTGC